ATATTCTTGTTTCAAATATATCAACTCGCTGCTGCCTCATGAACGTTAGAAGAAGGTTACGACTGAATTTTAATTTTGATTGTACACTAATTTTGCATTTGCCCTTTTACTCACAAAAACCTTTATGACTTCTCGCCCAGAAGACCGCAGCAGATAGCGGAGGCAGATTTGAATCGGAGTTTTGAGATCTACAGAATGGTGTACATCTCATCTTAAAGGGCCACTTCGACCCTTCCTTCCCGTGTCAGTACGGTTTTGTTAGATAAGTCTATAGTAAAATATAGGAGAAAAACTAGTTAGAGAGACAGCGTGAAATGCAGATCTCCACAGTTTTTGAATTCGTTCTCCCTCTCAGGTATTCATCCATGCATCCATAATTGTATGAAAATGCTGAAGATGTTGGGAACTAGTCTCTCTTCTGTGTCAAATAATCAAACTTCGTTATCAAGTGAATGAGAAAATTGAGCGCTTTTACTCTCGTGATGCAACAGCTCTAAAAATTGCCATACCAAGGCTGGGAGCTTTTACAGGGGACTATCTTATCATCTCACTATCTTATGTATCTATTGTCAGCTGCTTTTGCACTCAGTTTAGAAAAAAACATCAGATATCCAAGTAAGAAGCAGCGTCTTTACATGCTTATCTTTCGCATGGCACTCTATTCGAAACTATTACAGTATGCTTTATTCGACGTTGCCAAATAACAAATAAATATGGTGAAATGATAAGCTAGATTTTGCAGCGGTTTCAGAGTGGCATGACGACTGAAACCGCTTTTGATACCTTTGTAGTAGCTTCAGCAGCAGTAGTAGTTGTTGTAGAAAACGATCTTTTCAAAATGCAGTTTTTGGCCATCACTCGCATATCTCGGTTTAAAGCGACGTATATTATGCAATTGCAAGTACCTGGAAATGAGGGCTTTACAAGACTGACAGCATCTTTTCTAGATACCTGCTGACAGCAGCCCCAGTATGTAAAATGGGCCTACAGTTTTGAAAATAGAAAAGCCGATCATTTCAACAAAACCAACGCCAACGCTAGGTAGTGTCACAAAGAGTAGAGAGGATACTAGGATACCAAGCGAGCTGCGATTAGCCTAAAATGTCAGTTCCCATAAAGTGTCAAAAAAACCGTTTAGTCTTACTTGTCTAAATTTGCTCGTGCTACTATTGCTTGTAGTGACAAGTGCTTTTTCGGATTCAGAATTTTTCTGGATCTGGCGTAATTTTACCAGCATAGCCAATGTGAGGATAATCACGAAAAAACCAAGGACCTGAAAATAACTGACTGCACCTTTCGATAAGTTCACCTTCAATCTTACCATATTGCTTGTTCCCCAGTAGTAGCGGAATTGATCACTGACAAAACAGCCTATGGCAGCACAGTTTGGTCGTGGTAAGATTGGGGAAAGGACAAATTCAGCGGTTACGTCACAGCAAGCCAGAAATACTCCAATAAATAAAGCCGTATTAGCGTATATAGCTGAAGACATCCTGCGATAAATGACTGTGAAGTACAAAGCCTGAAATCTACTCGCCAACGTTTGGAGCTCAGAGAAAAGTTTAGTCTTACAATTGTTCTGTCCAAAGCGATTGCTATCGTAAGCGTTAAATTGATTTTGAGCTGTATAGTCAGTGGTGTGCTGGATATCATAATCATATAAGGATTAAGCAGTATGTAATGGTCATTCCACAAAGCAATGAGGTATATTATATATGGAAGT